ATACCAATGAATTTCCCTTGGATAGATTTTTTTGTCAGGCACAGTCAGAAGGGATCAGGTTTACGGAAATCCAGAGTGAAATACCGAGAGACAGATTGTGCAACAAGTGTTTGCAAAACATTCCTGCGCATGAAGAAAAAGCAGCCAAGCATTTCTTAAGAGACTCTCTCACAGCAGAAGAAAACATTGGTTTCCTGATGCCTGTAGTCCTCTGAACCTGAACATATCTCATCGTCAACCGGACCCTCTTCATTCCACCAGTGGCCTATAGTGAAGGGGTGGTGCTGCTGGTGCACACCAGCCTTACCCTGAGCTCCTGCCCATTTGAGTCTTGTTGTCCATGAAGTGCTGTGGAGGCAGGTTTTGTTCTCAGCTTCACACTAACGCTGTGTCTCTAAGAATGGGAATCTGTGGGGACAGTGCCACTGGTGCCACCATTGGACATGCAGGCAGCAGACACCATGAACTGGGGAAGCTACTTAGTGACCCAAAGGAGGCTTTGCTGCTGGTTCCTGGTCCCTGCCCTGAGTAAAGGGAGGACTCCCTTTCCATCCCCGCAAGTTCAGCTTGGCTGGCCTGGAGTGGGGAGGGGGGTGATGCTGTTGTGTATTGTGCAAAGCTGTGTCCAGTCCTCCCACCTTTGGGCCATTCATGTTCATGAACATCAAATGCAGTGTCATGGAGTTTCCAGCTCTCCTGGTTTATTGTGCAGGGACCGAACCCTACAGTCATTACTCAGTCAAAACTCCCAGGGTAGTCAAGTGGGCAGCAGACACTGAGTACAATAGATTCAGGCTTTGGCCCCGCGGTACACAAAGGCTTTCTAGAGCTGACTCAGTTATGGAAAGAAACATCATGGACTATGGGTAGTTGGGGTACATTGGGGTACATGGTGTGTTTCTCCCTACCAACTGGACACTAATAATATCTCAGATTATCACCTCTGGAGCAGAGACCATCATCCTGTTCTGTCTTTATATATCACCCTGTTCCCTGGGGTCCTCAGCCATGGTGGGGGCCCCTAGATACCTCTACAATACACATAACTATAACAGATATTTTGCTGTGACCAGAGCCTTTCCCCTACTAACACATCAGTGGCACTATGTTCCCAGATCCTTCACCAAGTCCCAAATATTCAAAGGCCAAACCACAAGGTGCTTATTCATGTTTTATTTGTTAGTAAATGGGCTCCTTTTGCTTTGCTCAGCATAAATAAATAGGTGTGGCTATTCAGGACAGCATACACTGCTCGCATGCAACGGAGAGGTTTTCCCAGTTGGGCAGGGATGGTTTTCAATGGCTGCTCACTTCCTCTGGACTCCTGAAGTGGGAGATTTGTCCTCACGGATGATGGGAATGGTACGTTCAGGAAGGTCGGTTGGTCTCCGTGGTCCATTCACTGTCAGGACACCATCCAGGGACAGGGAGGAGGTGATGGATTCAGGATCCACATCAGAGGGGACCCTATATTTCCTGTTGAACTCCCTGGCGATGTAGCCATGCTCATCCTGATCGAAAAGGGAGGGAGAAGGACAGCGCTGGTTAGCTGGAATCGAGTTAGCCTGTCTGGGCAGCATTCCCTCCGGGCTGAGGCCACACTTCAGAGGCACCAGCCCAAAAGGAGCGTTTCAACCAGGGGGCAGTTTGACCAGACGCTGTGAGCTCAGACTGCCCTGCCCAGGCCACACTTCCACTGCCAGCTGGCTTAATAAAAACCCTGTGAACTGCTGGTCTCAGGTGAGAGGAACCAAGTTCATTGGCCATCACTTTAATTATTATGTGTTGTGCTGCTGTCCCCTGCGGTGCTTATGGCTTCTGCCACTGTAGCTGCATTGGGCAAAGGGGTCTGATTCCTGGCAGACACAGGTAGAGAAGCCCCTAGTATAGACAGGTACACTGGCAGGACTGTGTTGATACCACTGTAGCATGGCTCACTCATGGTTGGGGGCTTTTCTGGGGCTGAGCATGCCTGCTGCACCTTGTACCCATGCTTGCAGCATGTTGCAAGCACAGTGTGCTGGTCTTCCTATACCAGTAAAGCTCTCAGCGTAGACGCAGCCTACGCCTTCACACACCTCCTAGCTGCCCCAGCGGTTTCTAGGAACAAGCTGTAATGGGATCTGCACTCAGGTAGCAGAGAGCAGGATCGGACCTTAGAGTTCTACCATACTTCTGTTCTAGATGAAGATATTCAGGTGGCAGCAGGCTGGGACTAGGACTTGCTTGATCATTTGGTTTAATTATTAAAGTTCATCGTTCACTTATTCTCTGTTACACAGCTCACCAGTCTCTGTGCTGGGCTCCCTCCCCTCTCCCCTCCATTCCTGGAAGGAAGAACTCATTTTAAGGTGGACTTTACCCAGTTCAATTTGCCCTGAATGTAGGATGCAGCAATAACCTCCTCCCCGTGTGTCTTTTGGTGAGGGTGAAACGGCGCCTCCTGGGATAGCCATTGCAGCAGATTAGCAAGCGGTCTGGCAACCTTGTGGCATCTTTGGTGGACACAGCTCAACCCAGACCCGCACAAGCAGACGTACCTGGCGCTCCTCATGTTTCCCGTGGATCTCAACCATGTCCCCCAGAACCTTGATTTGCAGCTCCTCAGGGGAGAAATGCTTCACATCAAGGTTTACGGAAAACTTGTCCTTATCCAGTCGCATCTGCAAAATAAGGCGGGATAGAGACGGACAACTTGAGAGCAGCCTGCCATATGCATCCTTCTCCTTCAAGCCCATGGAAAAGCTCCCCTAATCTGAATCATCCTACCCCAGGCACGCCTCAAACATGTTACCCCTCAAGGGCTGGCCTGGAGGTAGCAGCGCTATACTTGACCCCTTTGCTCCTTGCTTTATCCCATCTCTTAGGCTGCTGGTTTTTTCTGTTTTTCTAGTTTCTTATGCTCACTGCAATACCTGAGCAGCTCTACGCTCGTGTCTGAACAGGGGCAGAATAAATATTGTCCCTGGGAGTAGTGTATCTGAGGGAGCACATGGGCAACCAGGGCAGCAGCCTGCACTGTGCCAGGTGTTGTGGCTGCCCTGGCCAGGGAGCTGCCCTGTCACACTTCTGATCCCTTGGTCATTAAGGCCACTGTCACCTTGAACTCTTTTTAACCTGCCTGTGTACAGGAATGGAGCTGGTCTGTGGTTTTCCCTCCCTTGCAAGCTCTGTTTCCTGCTGCCACCACCCTGTGCCTTTTTACCGGTACCCTTGGGTTGCAACCCAAAAGTGGGTCACAAGAATATATGAAAGGGTTGTGAACCCTTAAAAATGAATTCTCCGTAAAAGCATAGGAAACCATGGGTTTTCTCTTGCAGGCTGGCAGAGCTCCAGCCTCCCCCGTGCCCCACCCCCTGCCCCACACCCTGGGGCCTGGGGGCAGCGGGTCGGGAGTGAGGGGCACCAGCAGGGCCGGAGGACTGTTTTCTACTTAAACTATTTACTGGGTCGGGACTGGCCGTCGAAGTTTACAAATGGGTCCTGGTACAGAAAAGGTTGAGAACCGCTGGTCTAGAGAAACCCACCGGGCACAGCCCCTTTCACGCCTCCCCCTGCGCAGTCCTGACTCACAGGATGTGTCACCAGTGAACTACTCATCTCCCTTTTCCAGATCACCGGTAAATTCGCCCCGTGGCATCACTCCCGGCATGAAATGAGTTGCTGTACAGACAGCCCTGTCACCTGGGCTTGCATCTCCCCCTTTACCCATGGTAGGCAACGCTGTTTTGTCTCCGCTTCGCAGGGGCTGGAGGGATGCTTGTTCGGCTTCACTTTTGGAACTGAACCACCAAGCCCGGCCGTCCTCCTCCCTCCGGCCTGCTTCATTTTTGTTTTCCCTTTCCCAGCAGGTGGACGTACCTCCTGCTCCGTCAGCATGCGTTCAGGCTCTGAGATCCCTCTGAGCCAAGCTATTTGCTCCCTGTGGAGTCCTGTGGCTTTCTCAGGCTTTGGATTTCCCTTTGTAACAGTCAGTGTTTGAACAGGACCCCCCTTGAAAACCTAGTCCCTCTGTGTCTGGGTTTTGGGACATGCAGAAGGTGGTCCAGCTCCATCAGAGCCTCTGTGTCGCACCTCCAACTACTTTCACTTAGAGAAATCCCAGGGGTTACCTGCAGCCAGGGTCCCGATGCACTGGGCACTCCCTTTTTCCATGGACCAGCCCCAGAAAGAAGCAGCAGCTTTTAAGCCAGCAATGTGCTGTTTCACGTGGTATTGCAAGAGGGCATTGTCCCCTTCAGATCATGCTAGGCAGGTTTGTCACCGGCTTTTCAAACGGTTCCACTATCTTTCTTCCTCCGCACCCTGGACTTGCTGCCAAAGCCACACAGGGCTCTGCTGTCTCCGTTACCCCCTAACGCCAGCAGAGCCACCCCTGCCTCCCTGGTCTGAGAAGAATCGGGCCTGCTGTTTACTAGCTGTCCAGGGTGTTGCAGCCAAGGTCCTGTGATCCCAGCAGCTGCTTTTACCTCCCACTCCTCAAGGCTGGACCTGGGGTGATAAATGGGACCTTTTCATGGGTCCGTTTGGAGCCAGGGGTGACGGCACATTGAGAGGAATTTCAACCCAGCTGACAGGAGGCATATGCCGCTCTTGGCAGCATCAGCCAGGGGCTCTGGGACATTGGAGAGCGAGGGGGAATTGTCTGGGAAGATGAGATCAAGGGGGAAGAGGAGCCCCGGGGGGAGCAGCAGGTTGGAGAAGGAACTTCCCCATCTCTCGGTTACAAATAACGCAGCCAGCGTCTCTGCATAACTGGCACTGATGTCTCGCTGGAGAGGCTTTGGCAGGAGTCCCATGCTCTTCTGAGCTGAGCTGTGGGGAGGAAGCTGCCAGCGGCCGGCGGGAACCAAGGAGCTGCTTCCTTGTTGTCCTGTGGCCCTTTGGCATCAGGATGCTGCCACAAAGGAGATGGCATCGGCTGCCCCCTTCCCACTGCACGCTACCCCCTGGTAGGAGCCCCACGCCACCCTGGTGCCAGCCCTGTGACCTGCCCCTTACAGGGCTCCGAAGGACGGGGCGCAAGCCTCAGCTGTGGCAGGCAGGGCGGCACGGAGCAAAGAAGCTGCCCACTGCTCCCCGTGTGAGCCAGAGTGTGTAGGAAGCAAAGGGGCAGGGAGGGGGACTCAACGGCTGGCATGTCCTTGGAGCAGGGCAGGCACCTGCCCAATAAGCTTCTCGCTCTGACTCGTCCAGCCCCACAGCCCGTCCCTGCTCCCTGGCACAGATCTTCTGAGAACATCTGCCCTAGCAGTGACTTGAGGCCAGATGGCAGGTGCCTTTCTGCACCAGGGGGATGTGATGCCCACCAGGAGGACCTCACTTTGAGTCCCTCCCAGGATCTGCGTGATTGCTTGGCACCAATGGGGCATTAGGAGCAGCCTCCCAGCCACTGAGATGTGTTGCAGGTCCCTGCTGTGGGCTCCGGGGTCCTGCTGACTTTCCGAGAGGCTGGGGAGAGTTGGCCTTCCTTGGTGTCCTTCCAGGAGCAGTCAGCCAAGTCAAGGGCAGGGCAGGGGCAGCGGCAGGCTGATTCCTGCCTCCGTTCCAGGGGTGGCAGGAAGGTGATGGTCCAGGACCAGGGAAAGAGTTGCACAAGGAGTGTACAAAGTCCATCTGGATGAGGGGTCTATGCATAAGCACAGCACCGCTACCCTCCCACCTGCTGCATGTCCGAAAGGGTCTCTAGGTCTCCTGGGATTCTTCCTTCCTCTGGCAGCAAGTTTGGTCTAACAGCTAGGAGAAGGGACCGCAACTCCCACATGCCCTGCTGCTTGCCCCTTGACCCCACGGCTACAGTACTAATTGCCAACATCCACAAGGGAATGCTTAATTACCATTAATTAGCATCTTATAGGATTCCTCATTCAAATGACTGTTCCCTGCCTGATGTGGAGGATCAGCCCCGGTGCCTCCAGCTTGCGCTCTCCCCATTTCCCCCCAGATAACTCTCTGGAAGCAGCTCCTGGCTCTGCAATGAGTCCCGCCATCCCAGGCTCCCCCCGGTCCAGAGCCAGCAGCAGAGCACCAAGCGCGGCGAGAGAGAAGTGTTACCTCGGAGAACCCCGTCTCCAGCCAGCTGGGCATCCGTAGGAAGGGGGACCTCAGCAGGAAGGGTCTGATGCTGGACGAGGTGGGGAACAGCTCGGACTCAAGGAGGTGCTCTCCAAAGCTCTGGTCGAAGATGCGGCTGGGGGTGAACAAGGACATCAAGGGTCTGCGCAGCAAGGGGTGGTGAATGGAGATATCCATTTGCCTTGGCTGGGGGAAGCGTGAGTGCGACTGCAGCTGAGTTGTGCTGGGACCGGTGCACGAGGGCTTTTTATAGCCCCAGCTGTCCCGGGCGCGCCTCCTGCTGAACTCTCTGGAACAATGATGTCAGGAGTTTTATCATCCCGCTCTCGTCTGCGCCATTCAGCACTGGCCGGGCCATTGTTTGGGGGATTTGGATGAAGGAGCCGGGGGGTGGAGGAAAGAGAACTTGGTCTCGCGGGTCAGCAAGAAGCCGAGGCCGGCTGGCTGGCCAGCCTCCTGGCCCCCCCACGCCTTGTTTATCAGCAGAGCCCTCGCCAGCTTGGCCACGGCTCCAGCTGCTTCAGATGCCAGGAGGATCAGTGCAGCGCCTATCTTTGGCTCACGCAGAAGCGACAAGGGGCCGTTGTCTTTCCTGTTGGGCTTTGCAATTTGGGTCCCAGGGACACACGCAAGGCAGCTCCGCTGCTCCATGGGTGGGGGCCAGCTCACTGCAGGACTTGTCCCTCTCCAGTGACCCCTGTGAGCCCTGATGCCCCCCACCAGTGCCGGTCTGTCCTTCCTTATGCCCCAGCTGCAGCAGGCCTGGTCCTACCCTGCCAATCTGGGGGTCCTGCCCCTCTGCAGCTTGCACAGGGCTTGTCACCTCCAGCCCATTCCGTGTCTGTTTGCAAATCGGGATGACAAAGGCGTCAGCCCCCAAATGTCCCCTGAGCAGTTCCACACTTCTGCCTTGGCCTCAACCCGCACGGCTCCCTGCAGGCAGCGGCAAGCCCTGGGTAAGGGTGAGCTGGAGGTGGGGAGGGGGGCGGGCAGGGTGTGAGCCTCGGCAGCTGTTGCCCCTCTGCTTTCCTGAGGGCAAAGAGACCAGCTCAGCTTCCCCATGAGTCCGCCCAGCATCCAGCACTAAAGCCTCATCACGGGAGAGCGGCGACAAGCTGGATGCAGGGAGACCTCTGTCCAGTCTGGCTGAGAGGCGGGGATAAACCTGCTGCATGAACAGACCCCTGTGTCCTGAGAGCCTTTGTGCCGTTGGAGTGCACTGGGGCCTAGAAGCCCCCATCGCAGCGCAGGGGCCCCATGTGCTAGGCGCTGTACAGACGCAGGGCCAAGAAATGGTCCCTGCCCCGAAGAGTCAGGTAAAGCTTAAAGGAGGGGTGGAGGGGCCAGCCGGTGTTATCGCTTCTAGTGTCAGCCCTGCTCCTGCCTCTCTGCCGTCCTCACTTCAGTGATGGCAGCTGCTTGGGAAGAAGAAGGAAAGTGCAGCCCCCAGAAGAGCTCACTGCTGGGCACCGTCCAAAGCCAGCAGCATGGAGCCCCAAAGAAACATGCAGGCCCAGGGCATGGGCAGGTGCCGGTTTCCCATGCAGGGTGGTGCCCTGGTCCCGCAGAGTTCCTGGAGCAGCACAGAGGTGCCAGCACCTGGGCAGCTCTGCTGGTGCTTCCCCAGCCCGACCCGCAGCAGCCCGGGGCCCTCTCCCGCTGCCTGCGCATGTGTTTCTGTGGCTCAGTCTGAAGCCCAGAGCTCGTGTCATCCACCCTGCCCACCCCCAGGCTGAGCCCCCATGCACTCCTGATTGCATTCAAAATAAGGACTGACTCAGAGGAAACATCAGGTTAAATTTAGTGCTGAGTAAGTCTGGGCGCTGAGGCAGGGGGGCTGGCACAGCTGCCAGTCGCCTCCTGGCTCCAGTTGAGTGCAACATCAGCCTCTTATTTTTTTACTTTCCAACTTTCCTGTTCCCAACTCCTCACCTGTCCATCCCTTTTCCCCTTCACTCGGTGGGGGGTGGCTCAGGCCTGCCTGCCTGGCTGGCATCTGTCAGACCCAGCTGCCTCCCCGCGGCAGAGCTGGGCGCTTCCTCCTGACAGTGCCCTGCCTCTGCTCTGCACAAATGCTCTCTGGGCTGGCTGGAGCCCTCCAGAGAGACCCCTGAACCTCCCCCCAGCACAGCCCAAGGGAAAAGCCCAGGGGTGTGCTGGGCTCATTCTGAAGCGCCTCAAGACTGGAGTGGTTAAGTGAAGCTCAGAAACATTTGGGGACAGAGACCATGTTTTTGTCTTGTGTTTGTACAGCATCGTGACTGGCATGTCTAGACCCCATGTCAGTGCAAATGGCAGCATTGATACTATGTAAGGACAAGCTGGATGCTACCGAACACCTGTCCAGTGTGCTATACGGGGGCCATGGGGAGTGGGCAGCCCCTCCTGCATCCAGCTGTGTCCTGTCTTAGAGCTGGTGCAAACTCCATGGACTCAGGCAAGCAGCACAAACCCAGTGCTGGCAGCACGACAGCTGCATGAACAGCATGGGGCAGCAAGCGAGACCCTACCCCAGCTCAGTGCACTCCTGTGCCCAGGGCTATAACTCGAGGACAGGAGCTCCCCTCCTGGCTGCAGGACCTGGCCACAGCAGCAGATGCTGCAGGTCTCAGCCGGAGGGATGGAGGGCAGAGATAGATGCTGCGAGAGCTGCTCCACTCCTGCCTCATGTACAGGGTGCCAGGGCACCCACTGCCCTGCACTGCACACGCGGGGATCCTGCAGGCATGGCTGGTTTCAGGACATGGGGTTCTTGTTTGGGCATCAAACCATTCATCTTTTAAAAACGGATCTGAGTCAAATGTGCACCCCGCTACTCCGGTGTGTCTGTCAGAGGCATCCCCGACTCTGAGCCAGGCCAGAATTCATACTCAGGCTTGGCCCTTAGCTCAGTGGCACGGCACGTTTGTAGTGGAGGAAGAGGGAGAGGCATTAACACTATTTGACGGGTACGTGCAGAACTTCACAGCTCCGGGTCGGGAATCCTCGGTCACGACTCTGCTACCTGGTTATCTTTTTCCCCTTGTGTTTGGAACGTAAAGGGGCCAAATAGCAAAGGGGCCTTGTGAGAACCCGCCAAGGGCCCGGTGCCCTGCACCACTCTGACTCCAGCTCCTGGAGCTGGGGTGGAGGCTGGGACATCTGTTGCAACCCTGCTTGTTTGTGGCTTGGAGACACTTCGAGGCCATCAGAACAAGGCAGCAATATTGGCTTCCAGCTGTGGCCAGAGAGCCATTTAACCCTTAGGGTACCGAACACAAAACCCCCCTGCCAGCCTTTGCTCCTTGACCCTCCGAGCCCCTGTCCCTGCGAAGTGCAGGTAGGGGCGTTGTTGTAATTTGGGTGACAGAAACGCCGCAGCAGACAGGGGAAAGGCTGTACGATGCATCTTTGGCACTGCGGTGGGATCTGCATGTGGATACCCCAGCCTCCAGGCCCCCTCTAGCCTGCCAGCCCACCCCTGCCATAGTGGGAAGCCTAGAAACGGTGCCTATGCAAAACCTTCCTTCTCTCTGCTGGTCGCAGCAGCCGGGACTTCCCAGAATCCCTGCAGGAATGCAGCGAGGAGCTCTCCCTCCGGCCCGGCTCAGCGCCGTTCCAGGCCGCGAGTCTATTTTGGTCGTATTGGTGTCTCGCACTCCTCCCTCTGGAATTCACCCGATTAAAACCTCACCCTCCACAGCCTTCGCTCGCAGAGGCAGCCGGCGCTCCGGGCCGCTCCCCGCTGACCATGGCTGAGCGCGCGGTGCCCCACGCCTACCCCATGAGCACCGAGTACGAGTTTGCCAACCCCAGCAAGATGTATGACCAGAACTTTGGGGAAGGTAAGGAGCAGGATGGGGGCCCTTCTGGGTCCCTGCCGGCATCCCTGCCGCTCCGGTTGCTCCTGCTGGCGTGTGGCACGCATCCCTTGGGAGGCTCCTCTCCCACGGACACGCTGAGCCCCGTGCATGGCAGGCAGGAGCCTCTAGAATGAGCATCACTGTGTTTTGCATCTCCTGGCTCCTTGTCCCCTCCTGCTTTGTCCCTTCCTCCCACACCTTCTCCCTATTTGCGCCTAGGCAGCAAATGCCAAGCCAAATCCTGCCCCTGCTCCCTTGATGCATGCTTTCCAGCCATCCATAGACAGTTTGCTTGGCCCAGGCACTCAGCCAAGACCTGCTGTGGCCCCCAGAGAAGCGTGTGGCTGCGTGATTGCAAGGCGGGGTCCACAGGCCGTTTGGAGAACTTGGTTCCATGTCTTAACTTGTAAAGGGGTGTCTTATCGAGGGAGCCTCCACCCCTTCCTCTGCCGCACACCTTGGCACCGGGGATGCTCACCTGCCCAGGCCAGGACGGGACAGGACAGCCCATTTTGAAATGCGGCTGGCAAGGCCTAGGTTTAGGGGCATTTGCAAAGTGCTGGCCCAGGGGACATGGCTGTGGCCTTGGGGCAGAAGGGAAAAGCTGAGCTGGGCCATTGTGCACAAAGGCAGAGCAGCAGCAGGCAGCCGTGAAAGAATGCAGGAGGCAGCAGAACCATTCAGCGCCAGCCCGGCCGGGGGGAAGGCAAAGCCCACAGGACAATGCCACCCAGGGGGATTTAGTCCTTCGTGCCAGTCTGTCTCCAGTCAGCACTTTCCATGTCTGTCCTGCCCTGGAACCAGGCTTCATGCAGCACCCGCTGCCCAGCTGTTCCCTTTTCGATCCAAAAGCTGGGTGCCAGCCCCTGGCTGAGGTGGGTGCCATGGGGCTATGCTCTGTCCCCATGGCACCCATGCTACCCATCAGCCCAGCCAGCTGAGCCTGCAGCCAGATACAACCCCTGACCTGGCCAACAGCAGCACTGGGTGGATGGCAAAGGGCTGTGCCCATGAGCGGCCCCGCTGCAGCTTGATGCACGGGAGGGCATGCAGCCTGCACAGAGCCAAGAGCTGCCTGCCGCATCCCGGGTTCTTCCCCCCCGTCCCCCTCTCATCCTCTGTGCTCATCTTGGTCCCCTGCGAGTGCTAAGAAACCATCTCCTCCTCATTGTGTCTCTCCCAGGCTTGTCCCCATCTGAGATCTTGGCCCCCACCCTGTACCACGGCTACTACATCCGGCCCCGGATCAACAAGCAGCTGGACCGGGGCATCTCGGAGATCAGCCTCAACGACCACAAGTTCCAGGTGTTCCTGGACGTCTGCCACTTCCTGCCCGACGAGCTCGCTGTCCGCACCGTGGACAACCTGCTGGAGGTGGCGGGGCAGCACCCCCAGAAGGCCGACCGCCACGGCTTCATCTCCCGCGAGTTCACCCGCACCTACATCCTCCCCATGGATGTTGACCCGCTGCTGGTTAAAGCCACGCTGTCCCACGACGGCATCCTCACCATAGTGGCTCCTAGGACCGGGAAGGAGGTGAAGGCCAGAG